AGTTGTCCAGCTGCTGGAGGGAGGGGTGGGGCTGTGGGGGCAGCAGGCTCTGGGGGTGGGGGATCCCCTTTCCTGATCAAGGTTTCCATTTTCTGTTCTGGGGCCAGGAAGATGCTGCTTTGTACCGGCACCTGGGTGCCCTCCTGCGCCACTGCCTCATGATCTCTGCTGACGGAGAGGACCGGACGGAGGAGTTCCACAGGTCTGTGTGGGAGAACGGGCTCATGATCTTCACTAGCAGCGGGTCTCCCCCAGGCAGACCCCACCCCTCCTTGGCATTAACATGCTCTGCTTGTCTGGGGATTGCAGAGGTCGCTGCTGGCCAGCAGGACAGCTTTGGTGTGGCCTGCAGGTTCCTCTGCCAGGTGACATGGGCCAGCAGGAGGAGTTTTCTCCAACCTGCCTGACCCCGAGGGCCATATTCAATGTTCTGCCTTAGGCCTTCTCTGCAGTGCCTCCCACTTGAGTGGGCAGCTTGCCTGAGCAGATGTTTGGTACTTTTTAATTAAAGAGTCTGTGAGGTGGCCTTAATTAACTGTCTGTCTCTGGAGCCATGCTGAGAAATTGCCTCTGTCACATTGTTTGGCTTTATTGGTCCAGGGGCATCAGCTTTGAGCAGGTGACACCGTCCTGTCCCCAAGAAAATGGTAGTCAGAGAAACCCTAAACAATGTGTTGCGTTGACCATCAAGGTGAGGAGGAGCGATGCAGCAGGAGACCCTAGAGAAAGACCTTCACCACCCAGATTGGTCCTGCCTGGCCTCTGTGTCAGGATCCATGCTTTTTTAGTTGTCACTGAAGTCTCTATGGACGTCCAGCAAATAGTTTGACTATCCAAGAAGCAGTTTAACTGATTCCCTGTCAGTGGTGTGAGGGGCTTGGGATGCAGTCCAAGGACAACTTGGGTCTCGGGGTCTTCACCCTCCTGGAAGTTAGTAATGAACCTTCATTTCTGAATGGCTGAAGAATTTCTGTGAATGAAGATCTGTGACTGTGTGTTCACTGCTCTTTTATATGTTCAGCCATACCGTTAACCTGTTGGGCAACCTGCCCCTGAAGTGTCTGGATGTCCTCCTGACCCCAAAGGTCCGGCCAGGCTCACTGGAGTACATGGGAGTCAACATGGATGCAGTCAGCATCCTGCTGGATTTCCTGGAGCGGCGCCTGGACAGGGTAAGGTGTGAGGCTGCTCTGGGAATTCTCACTGCTCGTTTTCACAAGCTCCCTGGAGGGCACGGCTCCCTCAGCCTGGGAACACCCAGTGCCAGCACCACCGGAGCACCAGCCAGGCACGGTTAGTCCGGAGGTGCCCTGGCACAGAAGGGGCAGTTTTTAGCAGAGGCAAAACTGTTCTGGCTGGTAGGACAAAAATGGCATAAGGTGGCTGTGTCACTGCTTGATGGACTGCAGGTAGTGAGACTGGTGGAACAGCAGGTGACCAGCTGGACAATGGAAATACTGGTTGGACTCAGTAGTGATCTGCTGGGCAGCTCTGGGGGCCTGGATCTGCATTGCTTTCGAGCTGGCTGTGGAGTTCAGTCTCTGGAGTTACTCCAAAGGGCCTCCAGATTTTACCAGTGGGCTTCTCTGCTGGGTGCCCTACGCAGGTATCTCTAGCACTGCTGTGCAGCGGAGCAGGGCCTGGAAAACCCTGTGGTTTGAGGGGTGACAAAGCCCTGAACTTCCTGTAGCAGGGGCTGAAAGCTTCGGTGGCCGCCTCCTTCCCCAGCAGCCCGTGCTCGCGTTCTCCACCACGAGCCAGACAGGTTGAGCTCAGCACAGCTAACGTGGTGTTCGTGTCGTGGACGTGTCTGCAGGGACACAAGCTGAAGGAGAGTTTGACCCCTGTGCTGAACCTGCTGACGGAGAGTGCCCGGGTGCACCGCCAGACGAGGAAGTTCCTGAAGGCGAAGGTAGGCTGCAGCTCAGCCCCGCACCGAGCGCCGCTGCTCTCGGGGGGATGGATCTCCCCACCGATCCCCCC